ATGTATTAAGTACATGGTCTGAGCACTGGTCTACATGCAGGCATGTAGAAAACTGGTGAACCATCTTCCATACTAAGCACCACGAATTCTTTAGGAGATGAAAATAAAATACCTATCTTTGTCTGGTTGACAACATGCTTTATGGATCATTTCAGAATTCCTAAATCTCTTCTCGAGTTTCTAAAAATAGCAATAGAGAAAGAACTCAAGTTTGAGACACCAAGACTTACTTGGGAAAAATCAATTTAAGAGACTGAGAGGCAAGGAGATGAATCTTCTTTCGTGATTACTGTCTCTGGCAGGAGGAATTAGAAGCACCTCCCAAGTGCATCCCAACTGGGAACCACTACAGCGAATAACTCCCCTGGAAGCAGCGCTTCTCCCAGCAACAAGGCAAAGCAGTCATCCATCACCACAGCTGCCCATTTGGGATAATGGCAACCCAAGTAAGGTGGTCAGACTTGGTAAACAAAAAGGCTGGATGCCCCAGGAAATTTGAATCTCAGATAAACATGAATAATTTTTAGGAATAAATATTATGGCCTATGCAAATTCTGAGGTTATCCACATATCATCTAAAGGACATGTTGCCCAGGGCATGCTCATTCTAAAGTTTAACTATAGTTCATCGATATCTGAAATTCTAATTTCCTTTGTGTCTTGTGTTTTTCTGGCAATCCTAAACCCAGTACTTCTCTTCCAGACTTCCCTTCAGAGAGAGAGAGAGAGAGAGAGAGAGAGAGAGAGAGAGAGAGAGAGAGAGAGAGAGAGAGAGAAGTCTAAGAACACACTAACGATACATGAAATCCAGGTTTCTATAATAGAAAGTATTATTTTATCAATAAATATCAAATTGCATACTCTGAAAAAAAGATGCCTGTGCTTAACATTGTCACTGGGAAACGTTTTAAAATAAGCTTTTGTCTTTTGACAATCTAGGCTTTGTAGATACACACAGAGAAAACTGTCATCCCCTTCTGGTCATTGTCCTCCCTCCCTATTGGTCTCAAAGTGATCAACATTAACAGTAGGTGTAGAAGCATGTGTCCTTGTCATGTTCGTCCATTTATGTAGTTATTCACACTTCCCTTTTAATTTTTTATTAAGTTGGTTCTTTGACAATTGAATCAATGTATATAAAACATTCTGGTTCTTGTCTCCCCATATCCTCTCTAACCTCACTTCCACTCCTATTAACCCCCATTCTTCCCTACCTGTACCTTTCCCAGATGGATGACTTTGGGGTTTATTGGGTGAGTGGTTTATTCTGACCAGGACCCTCCTTTTGCTATTGGAGTAAGGCTACCCATTTAAGCTTGGTGAGGTCAGTGGGTACACAGCTGAAAGAAACAGCCCCTTCCCCTCCCCCCCCCAGTCTGTCGTTAAGACAGGTAGGTGTGATTTTGAACTACCTTGTGTTCCCTAGGGATCCTATTCCCCATGGAGGTTTATAATCCTTCAGCTCCTACCCCCATACAACTGACACTAGTCACATATGATTTCTAAGCACTCAACATCTGTCTTGACCACATACAAGAGATGTGCCCTTGTCTGTCACCACACTTGAATATGAAGATTTAGTTGCATGGTGGCAGCAATGAAAAGTATGGAATGGAAGCAAGAATGGTCACCTAAGTTACAGAGGAAGATAATAGGGTATAGCTTTCGAAAGGGTTTGCTCCCTACCCACTAGACTCAAATCCTGGTGGACACACACACACACACACACACACACACACACACACACACTTCCCTGGGCCCCTTCTTTTTCCTCCTTGAATATGCCTTTGTCCACATCAATTATATCACTCTCCCACCAATTCACTCACTTCACCCTATACTCTTACAGCTCCGAAACACTTACTGAACTAATAAAGTTACTTGTTCTGCAGACAGCCCTAAAGCATAAGAATAATTCAGTATGGCTACCACACTTTGAGAATATGGACTGAAATTTTTAGGTTGAACCTTATCAATTGGTATCAGATCATGTTTGGCTTCCAAACTGGCTGGCTTTGTATGGTTTGATGTCATTTTTTTTCCACAACACAAACCTATTTGTACATCCAGGACAATATCATTGTTAAGTGCACCATTCTAGAATTGTTTCTGAGTTTTGAAATTTTGTTGAGACAGGGTTTCACTATTGCTTAGGCTGATACTGAACTCCTGAATTCCGGTGGTTCCCCTGCCTTGGCCTCTGCAGGAGTCTTGGCTTCCTTTTGAAAGCCTAAGTGAGTTTTAACTTAACTCTCTGAACCTCATTCTACCCATATGAAAATGAAGGTAATTCATAATTCATGGAGTTTGGGATCAAAAGTTTCATCTTCATCTAGAGTTTCAATACATTGCCCAGCACACATGAAGTGTATAATATTATTTTGAAGTATCATCCTTGTCTCTACAAAAACCCATGAATACATAACCCCATTTACAAAGCTAAATCTGTCAAACAAGAAAAAAATAAACCTTTTTCTAATTAAAGAAAGCAGCCAGGAACTTAACTGCCTGTTTCAAAGAGAAAAGCCAAATGACAAGGAGGAGAAACTCAATTTAAGGACAAGACAACAGGCAACAGGTGGTCCCCATGGCTCCCTTCACATTGGGTCAGGGTTTTAGAGCCTAGAGATTGTCTGTTTATTCTGAATGAGATCCAAAGTCTGAGTGCCCTTGCGAAGAGTTCGTGTTGAGTTTCATGTTTATGCAGGGAGGGCCCAAAGGGCAACACGGCCACAAGGACTGATGGACAGATAGATAGACTTACCCAGATTTATGGCCCAGCAGCTGAGCAGCGCCAGCTCACTGGTGGGGACACACTCTGGGTTTAACACAGCCCACTGGAATCTGGAGCCAGAAGTCGAAGAAACCATCGGTATTATTAGCAATCTCCTAGCAGAAGATCGCCCTGGTTCCCAACTGTGCCAAGGCGCGTAAGTTTCTTGGGTACTGCTTTCAGAGAAGTGCCCTGACTTTGTACCCACACACGAACCATAACTGGCCTCTTGTATGATCACCTCTGCTACCGAGGTCAGCCTTGTCAGCCACACCTCCAAGTCAGGGACCGGTTTACAAGACAAAGAATAAAGCGCAGGAAGACTAGAAATGTTGAACTAGACTGACTGGTTGACCCACATAGGGTCAAAAATCAGAGTCTTGGCTATACAACGTGGTGGAATCAACTCTCACAAAGGGCACTGCGTATTTTTGTGATGCAAGGCCTGCCTTTACTGCCCCGGACCTCAGTTTCCCTATCTGAGAAACTTTACCGGAAGTCTGCTCTGGGTGACTGTGAGGTTGAAAGGCAGCTTTGGATATACCCGGTGCACCTGACTTCATTGTTTTGTTCTCTGTGTGCAGGTCGCTCCAGGAAAAGCCATCATTTGGGTACATGCAAGTCACCCAGCCGGTGAAGGCAGGTCAGCTTCGCCACAGCTCCACACCACCCTTGGTCCTCTGATCTTGGCTTTTCCCCAGAGGGCCTCAGGCTTCTAGGCTGCCTGCCAAGCCAGGAGGATGCTGCAACTGGCTTTCAGAGACTCCACCCCCACCCTCTTCTACCTCAGCGTGGCAGCCTTGTTCCCTGCCCCACCCTAGAAGATAAGGTCTGTGGTGGCCGTGCCAGCACTTGCAGGAGGACTGGTCTCAAACCACCATCAGCAATCTGTGTTTATTTGTGGCATGCAGGGGAGCCAAGGGCAATGATGAGAACTAGGTTCCAGAACTCTCCACGATCCCTTTTGGACTGTCAATCAAATGCTGTACCTAGAAGGAGGACTGGGTTCTCTCTTCCCAGTGCTCCAAAGGGGACCACCCACTAGTTATAATGTGATAAGTCAGCCTAGGTTAGGACCTTACCAAAGGTGAGGAGTTTTTCAGGAAAAAAAATTGGAGATTTAGAACACCAAACCTTATGAATTTTTTCATCTTACAGTTCGACGTCCCAAATTTTATATCCAAGTGTATAGAGGTGCATAGATGGTAAGAAAGAATCGCCCTCGACTGAGGGCTCCTGCCCTGCTCTGCCTGCAGCAGCTTGGGGCACAAGAACTGAGATCATTCTCCAGTTGCCCGTTCATTGCGTCCAGTACAAGCGGTAACAAGCTGGGGCCGGCTCCCCCAGCTCAGAAGAGCCAGGTTTTACTTCCCCTTCCAGTCCAAATTCAGTGACTTCCTGACACGCTTGAAACCAGGGCTGTGGGACTTCTTCAGCCACAGAACTGGGGGTCAGTGGCTGGTGAATAGGATAAGCAGTGAGTGCCTTTCATCTCCTCTGTGCGAGGCCATTTTTTAACACCATGATCCACTGCTTACAGCCCTTCTAATATATACAGAGATGGAAGTGATTTTTCTGAACAACTCCATTTAATCATGCAAGAAAATTCCATTTACAGGTTTATAACTTTGTTCACGTTCTTTTGGAAAACCTCATATATTTGACAAATTCCTAGCCTCTCCCGTAACATCTCCTCTCCCCTTTATGTTAGCAGGACTGTTCTCTGTATCATCTTTAAGGCATTCTCCCAGAGGGACAGACATCTGAGCGGCTGGTGTGCAAACTCCAGCGCTTCCTAGAAAAAAGCCTGTGGCCTGATCTGTGTGGACAGTGAGGCGGGCCTCCAACAACCTCAACTGACCCCCTTGGACTGCAGAGATTTCCTGACTGCCCTTGTCATCTAGCTTCCTCTAACCTGCGACTTTCTCCACATATCATATTTGCAGATAAGGGCAGACAGCTCTTGGGACAGACAAAATACCCAAGTTTAAGGCAGCAAGGCCAAGACCAAAGCAAGAGCCCTTCTTTTCCCTGACAACAGCCCCTCCTCTCTTCCTTGGGCACAGTGGGTCAAGTCACGCCCACCTCCCTTCTGACTCATATAGCTGGCATTTTTTTTCCCTCCATATACCACTTCTTTCTCTAGTCTAGGCATACAGCAGATTCCATTTTCAGCTGAAGAAGAGGGGGAGGGTTAAATACCAAATGAATCTAAAAAAAAAACAAGAAAAAACCCTCCACCTGACCCCTGTCTGAACAAATAATGAATCTCCAGAAAAAGCAGCTCGCTGATGGGTCCAGGCTGTGCCTGTGGATTTATGAGGTGACATCAGTTTGAAGACGAGGTGCAGGGCCCGAGCTGCGGGTGACACACTCCTGGATTGTTTTAACGGGCCAGCTCCTGAAGGACACCAAATCCCTCCCCCAGCTGAGTGTTATTAAAGTGGCAAAGATGGAGAGGAGAGCTTTCCCAGATAAATCAGCTTACTTGCTCTGGGCTCACTTCCCATTACCCCGCCTACTGGAAAGTGCTCCCCGGGGGAAGGAAACGAAGGGCTGAGAAGCACTTGCAGGTACACGCTTAATGCCTTAAACTCTCTCTTTGTGTTAACAGCGATTCATGGGCTGGGCTTTAAAGAAATAGATGGATTCCCAATCTGACCAATTTAAATAATCCCTGAGAGAGGACTGAAGGAAGGATTTATGTCCTTAGTAACTAAAAGGCACAGCAGAGCTTAGCCTGGAGGCTGGGTTTCTGCACTTAGTATCACAGAGCAATTCCGGGAGAAGATCCACATAAACCCTGGTGTAAAGAAATTACTGTAAGAGAGAGGAAAGAAGTGGACGTGGGTGTGAGCAAGACAGGAGGGTGTTGAAGCATTTCTCCTGGAGATAGAGTAGATGGGAAAACAAGGCATGGACTAAAAACCTGTGCTTCTACTTTACACTGTAATATGCATAACATTATCTGTAGATCTGTATGCATACAGCCTACAATGGTGTGTGATGATCATACCTAAACATGTGTGTCTCTCTGATACACTGTGTGCATTTCCTCCAGGAAATGCAAAGGCAAAGAGATACACTTGGATTTAGCATCACAAAAACATGTATTACTTAAGGAAAAAACAGGCCTCAGAGGCTGAGTGTGGGAATAAAATAACAACACACTGTGCTGAACAGTATTTGAGAGTGGTGACAGCCTAGAATTTTTCAGAGAACGTTGCTGGGGTTTCTTGTCCCACCAGGTCCCACAGCTGCTTCAGCCCCAAATAAGCACACAGAGACTTACATTAAACTGTTGACCGATAGCTAGGGGTTCTTATTGGCTAGGTCTTTCTAAATTATTGACCCATTTCTATTAATCTAAGTATTTTCACATGGTCTTATCTCACTGGAGAAGGTCTGGACCTGTTACTCCTTCCTCTGCTACATGGTATCTCTCTCATGGCAGCTTCTCTCTGCCTCCTCCCCCCCAGAATTGTCTCCTAGCCCTGCCTATCTTGCTGCCTCTCCTGGCCAAATAGTGTTTTATTCATCAACCAATAAGAGAAACATATATAGAGAAGAACATCCACAATCAAGGGAAAGTGAGAAATTTAGATTTCTGAAGAGAGCTTTTCTCTTGAGAAGGGAAAAAAGCAAAGTGTCTCTCGGGTAAGCCTAAGTCAGAGGCATGGTCAGTCATGGAAAAAACCCAGGAAATGTCCTGACAACCATACTTTGAGCCCTCCTGTCTATACGATTTTAAGCTATTCAGAAGTTCCCAGAGCGAGAGAACAGCAATATGAAGTGTCTACGCATAGCATGAACAAAATCAGTTGGGAGAGAGAATGTATTAGACTCAGGACAATGCTTTATTTGAAGATTAAAATAATGAGCCAAATAATGACAAAGATCTCAAGGCTCTTGCAGAGGGTTTAGTAGTAGCTGGGATGTGTTGAATGGAAATCTAGCTACATGCATCATTTTCCAGAGGCATATTTTTCAAAAAACTCTAGTACCTGATTGCTAGGCTTGCTCTCTGTGATGAAGCCTTGTTTGATAAATTAATTTTAGAACATGCATTATCTCAATACCTTCTTTGGTGCTTGATAAAATACTTGAAATTTGTCTTAGCAAATTTCAAGAGTGCAGTAAGTTGCTACAGTACTCACTGTCTTACACTGTGGGACTTTTAAATGTGCTCATCCTTTCCAAAGGAAGCCTTGTCTCCTTTGACCAGCATCTCCTTAGCCCCAGAACTCCACTATACCTTCAATCCCTCTCTTGGTGACACACTTTGTGCTCACTTTCCTTCTATGAATTCTTTCGAAAATCTCACAGATGAGGTCATGCTGTATTTGTTTCTTTGCTGAGTTCATTCACCCAGGTCATCACAATGTTAGAATTCCTTGTTGGAAGCCAAATACCTTCTCATTGAATATATACACCATGTCTTTATTCAACCATCTGTTGACCAACACTTACACTAACACTATCACCCAGAGATGGTCAATGATTCTGCAATAAGTACTGAGCATGAGAGTGCAAATGTGTTTGTGCACACTAGGTTTGTTTCCCTAAGAAACATACCTGTGCTTGGGATCAGAGGCTCATGAGTTTTTAAGATTTCCAGTATTCTACACATTATCTTCTACAGTGCCTATTCTAATGTGCATTGCCACAAACATTCCTTTAGAGCAAGTGTTGCTCTGTGCTAAAGTGAATGAGGATTCACTTGGTGGTAGGACTGTGGGGACCATGAGCCTGGAAACCAGGCCTACTGCTGCAGGAGAAGGGATGTCCCATCTGGTCTGAATGGTAAACTTTTATCAGGCCAGATCACTGAGGTAGGGCTTAACAAGAGCAAGACACGACCCAGGAGAAATGAGGTTGCAGACTGTATAAACATCACCTGGGATTCCAAATCACACACTTGGCTCTGCCTTTCCCTTCTGCTTGATTTCTGATGGCTTTCCTTGGTCACATACCTGTAAGCACACTCTCCTGTAAGACTAACACAAAGAGCACTGGTACTAGAGATGTAAATGCAGACTGGGTTTAGCAAAGAGAGTTTGCAGATGCAAGAGGGGGCAGGGGGAGATAAATGGAGATGGTGACTATCTGCAAGCCCTGATAAAATTACTTTCTGGCTGAAGGGTCTTACAAATCCCGTCTTGAGTCTGAGCAGTACTATTTCATGCCTCTACCTCAAGCATTTTCTCTCTGGGGGAAAAAAAAATCAGTGACCCAAAAAAGCATTTGGTGGTGGGAGGGGGCAGGGTCCCTGAGCTAATCTTGGAGATAGAGGCTGAAACACGGCTCTCTGGATCGGGGCTGGGGAAAGGAGGGAGGCATGGCTGCTCTGTTTGGAGAGGCCTGTCATCAGCTGGCGCGGTCTGAGCACTCAAGCCTTCTGTCAATAAGCACTTTATGGGGGAGATAAATGGATTTGGAGTTGAGGGTGGGAGGAGGGTGTCTGGGAAAGAATACAGACATTATCTGAACCCTTCTCCCAAGCTGTTTCACCGCAGTGCTCAAGGACACAGACCTTGCATTGAGGAGAGGCCAGATGGGAAGGAGGCTGAGCTCTGCCTCTTTCAGAAAACAAGCCACAGCATTCGGGTTAGCAGTAATAGGCAATCTTGGAGGGTTAGGTCCTGGAAAAGCTAGACTCGATACCCACAACTTAAAGTCTAACTTTAGTCACTTATCTGGTTGTAAACCCTTTGAGGAGCCAATACTGTGCCCAGGAGTTTTTACGGTTCAAATCCCAACTCCACCATTAGGCACATAAGAGATCTCAGACAAATCACTTTTCATTTCTCATCCTGCCTGGGTCTGTAAAAAAATGGAGATTATTAGTCAGGTAGTAGTTGAGATAATATACATTTAACCTGGTGCCTGAATCATTCAGGCATGTAGGAAATTTGAAGAATTGTGGCAGATGCTATTGATAGCCCACCCACATCTCCATCGTCATAGTTGCTTATCAAAAGTTTTTGTAACTCTGCATAGTCACAAGAATATGTCGAGTTCTCATAGAGAGCAGAAAAGTGTCTGAGGCATAATCTCCCAGGAAGCCATTCTCAGCCAGTGACAGATGAACAGTTAGTTAATGGATGGATACCCTTTGTCTACAGTAATGCTATAGCATATTTCATACTATACAGCCAGTATAAATGTTGTTGCCTCCTGGAGTCCTATAGAAACTCAGCACCAACTGTCCCCAGTAACAGCCATGCTGGGCCCCCTTTATCAGCTTGCCTGCCTTTGCTGACGTAGTCTTACTGTCCTGAGTTTGTTCCCAGAGATTGAGCCCAAAGACACTGCTTATACTTGGCTTCTTGTCTCAAGGACCAAATGAATCTAAACCCAAGACAGGGCTTGTTAACAGTGGCTTTACTTCCTGAACCCACCAGCATGCTCTGTTTCCTTATGTGTTCTGGTAGTCAATGTTTATCCTGATAAAGCTTCAGAATCCACAGAAAAACTCAAACCAGAATCCAGTTGCCAACAGAACCTGCCCAGGACCCAGTGCAGAGAGGTTATTTAGTCTACCCTGGAAAATGAAGAGTTCAAAGAGTCACTCAGTAAAAATACAAAATAGAGCAAAGACTATTATTGATTGGTCACCAGACACACCCTTCCCCCTGGGGACACATCTGCTTCCTACACCTGAAGCCACTCCAGATTCTCTCCCCTTGACCTCAGGACTCCACACCCATCTCCAGTTGCCCGCCTGGAGGCATTTGCCGTGACCTCATCACTGTCTTCTCCAGTCAGTGTTCTTGTGTAACCGCTTCTATTTTCCAAATATGGAAAATATTTTACAGAGATTATGTTTTTTGGGTGTGCCACTTCCTCAAGACCTACAGGTTCTCACCTTAATCGCCTTAGCACATTCTTCAGATCACCCTGTGTGTGTGGAGTTGGGGGTGGGGGCACTCACTGGACACTTGTTGAAGTCATAGGGTGTTGTTTCTTGTAACAGCCAGTCAAAGAAAGCTTTCTCCCCACACTCCTGCCCTGCCCTCTTGCTGAACTCTACCTCTGGGATCTTGAGGTCTGTCTTAAGAGGAAGATAAATTCTAGAGTCAGTGAACTGTAACTAGAGTACACTAGAGCCCAGAGTTAACAGCAGGCAATGGTGATGCCATTGGGTAACACTGGTGATCACTCACTTGAGAACAGCTGATGTCTTCGGTATTAGAAGCACTACCTGTCTAGGTTATCCTTCCTTGGGACAGTTTCTCAAAATCTGACCCGTGGACTTCCTATTTTAAAACTCTTTCCTGTCTCTGCCTTTCTCAAAATGTTCTTGTGTGTACATATCTGTTTTCCCGGGGGAGCCAAAAGGCAATCTTCGGTGTATTTCCTTAGGCTCTCTCTCCACCTTTTCCTTTATTCAGTCTTTTGCTGGCCCAGAACTTGTCCAGGGATCCTCTTGTGTCTACTTCCCCAGTGCTGAGATTACAAGAACATACCACAATGCTCAGCTTGCTTGCTTTATTTACTTAATTATCTGTTTGTTGTAGGTTCTGAGGATTGAACTAAGATCTACATGTTTCAAAGGCAATCACTGTATCAACTGAGCCATCTTCCCCAAACCCTAACAGAACTTCAGATACCGTTTGAAATGCAGATTTCCAGTCCAGCTAAGGCACATGAAGCCAGAACAAGCTCTCTGGGCAACAAGGTGACAAACTGATCAAGTTATCACATTGGCAGCACCATGTGTAGGAAGCCCTTGAGTCTTGGAACAGCTGATCACCCTGTGAGTGCACCTTATGCACAGCAAACTTTGCAGCATTCTCCTCAACAGTATGGCACCCTCACGCAGACAACTTTGGCTCAAAAGTCTCTGAGCATTTGAGGTTACTTAGAGCCAGAGCCACACGGGGTAGCTCTTAGTGAGTGTTCTGTGGAGCTTAGTGTTGGGGGAAGTCACACTGTCTTGTTACTTTTTCTTTTGGAACTTCTATGCAAGTTCAACTTGGTCCTGCTTTCATACTCCACAATTTCATCTACAAGGCCTTACTCTTGATTTACATGGTAATTTGTTCCCAATTCCTCCACATGCTGCTCCCAGAAGACAAACATCGCAGGGTGATCATTATATACTCTTGAATTGATTTGTATCCTTGCAAAGTAAATAGCATGTTGCCCTGCGAATTTTAATTTCAGCAAATTGTGTTTGTCTGTAGGGCTCATCCAATACTTACTCTGCTCTTGAGTATTGCATTTAATGCTGGGTGGTCCTTAATTTTGTTGCTGTTTTGTGGTAGGCAAATCAAAGATGGCTCCCGGTAGTGGCAGACTCAGTCTTCATGTCCTTGTGCAGTCCCTGATCATAAGCTAGACCTAATGACTTTTTCCTGATGGACAAAATGGTGACACTGCTGCTTTGTGATGAGATGTTGGTTTTGATTAGATCCTGAAACTGGGACTTTCTCTTTTGCTCTCTCATTTGCTGACTCTCATGGAAGCCAGCTGAATGTTTGCAAGTTGCCTTATGGAAAACTTAGTAGCAAGGATCAGAGAAAGGCCTCTGGGCAATAGCCAGCAAGGAACTTAAGGCCTTCTACACTGTATCAGAAAGGAACTGAATCATGCCAACAGTGTTGTGGCTAAATTTGAAAACAAATCCTCTCCTAGCCCAGTTGAGATTTGAGATGAGCATGGCTCTTGCCAAAACTTGATTACAGTGTATTGAAGACCTTGAGCAAAAGACTCAGCTAAATCATACTGGATGATAAAATAGAGGTGAATAAAATAAGTGTTTGTTGAATTGAGAGGTGAATTTGATATACTTTGTATCACAGCCTTAGGTAACAAATATGTTTCTAAGCATTGGTCACCCCCAGGGTGTACATCTACTGCATTCTCCTTGCTTACTTCCTACAAAACATCTAACTCTATCATAAGTATTGTGAGCCCCTGGAGTAAAACCCACTCTGGACCTGTGTTGACAGCTCCTTGCTATGTCTATGCACAACATATTGCTGGGAAAACTATGGAAGCACTTGAAATTCAGGGGCTGAAGAAACTAAGAATCTTGCAACTTTTAAAAGAAGGCAATTTCCCCAGAGACATTCTTTTCTAAAGATGGGCAGTCTTTAAAGGGAAAGAAAGACTATCTGATAAATGTTTTCCATGGTATATTAAAGAACACTAAGGCTGATCTATTGGATTATTTGAAAGTTTGGTGTCTTGTCTTGGAAAAACACTGCAGTTTTTCATTCTTCTTACCCAAGCATCAGCCATGAGAAGCAAGGAGTCCGGGGAGGGAGCCTCAATCGAAGCTGAATGAACACATCAATAATTGTTAAAATAATGTTTCTCTGTTTGGTTAGTAAATGGCTCCAAGTTTCTGGGAACATGTGCAAAGACCCTGCATCCATGAGAACTGTCATGTTATTTTTTACAGTAGGCTGAGATATATTTGGAAGTCACTGGACTGTGGCCGTCCTACATCAAAAGGTGTGTCATAACACAACACCACCATGCCCCATTTACAGTAATAGCATGCACAGCTCTGGCTGCTGAGGGCAAATAAAATGTGTTCTTGTAACATAAACAGCCTCACCTTCCCTCTGAGGACTGAAGGGCCATGAAAGATTTATTTATGTGGGTTTTTGAAACATGAGGACACGTGCAAAAACATGTTAAACATGCCTTTAAACACAAAGACAGTCAGGGAGACTAGTAAATACAGAAGAGCGATTGTCTTAAATGAAATCTAAATTCTAGAATCTTCTCCAAGATATTGGAGAAGAGAATATTAGATACACAAAGCACATTAGAAGTTTTCTGAATTCAGGCACCTCATTATTTTTTGCTTTAATCCCCAGTGATCTTTGGAAAAGTAAATTGCATATAAAATCACAATTAAAGTCTTCATCTTAAATGTCTTAACATAGTTCCATGGTATTACATATATTCATAATTTTGTGTAGCTATCATCACCATCTATCTCTATCATTGTCTTGTTGTAAAACTAAAAATCTATACCCATTAAACAGTTAACCTCTCATTCCTCATCAACCCCAGCCCCTGGAAACCACAACATAACTTATTCCTGTGACTGTAACTATCCTAGGTGTAATAGCTCATCTTGCTTGCCAACTTGATATACCTGGGAAGAGGAAAATGATCAAAGAATTGTCCCCATCAAATTAACATCCATTGACATGTCTATGGGGGCAATCTCTTGCTTGCTTCTTGACATAGGAGGGCCCAGCCCATTACGGGTGGAGCTAGGCTGATGAGGATGGCTCTATAGGATAGGGAGCTCATGATGAGCTCAGAAGCAAGACAGTAAGCAGCACACCTCCATTTCAAGTTCCTGCCTTGCTTCCCTTGACACTGGACTAAAACCTGTGGCTTTTGGCCATGGTATTTATCATAGCAGAAAGCAAACTAAGATAATGTGCGTATCAAATAACTGGAGCCTTGCAACACTTGCCTGTCTGTGACTGCCTGGCTAGTCTCATGCAGCAAAGTGCCCTCAGGTAAATGACATCAGAATTTCCTGTCTGTGGCTGAGTGATCCTTCATTACATGCACATACCACATCATGTTTACCTGTCCATTTGTGAGAGAACGCCTGCCTGATCTTATGAACTATGCTGTGGTGAACATAGAATACAGGTGTGTCTTCAAAATTCTGTTTTCAATTTTTGCCAGAGAAAACACGGAGTTGCTAATTTTCTTATTTTGAGGAAGCACCATACAGTCTTCCATGGCGGTCACAACATTTTGTATTCCTATCCACAGTATACAAGGGTTTTAACTCATCTGTGTCCCAGCAGCATTTGTTCTGTTTGCCGGTGTTTGTTTGTATTAGGGCGATGGTGGCCAGGGTGAGGCAGTACTTCCTGGTAGTTTTGACTTGTGCTTCCTTAGTGTGCAATGCTGTTGATCATCTCATCTACTGGCTATTTGTGTTCTTTGGGGGCAATTTCTGTTCAAGATCTTTGCCAGTTTTTTCAGCTGAGTTACGTTTCTCTGTTGTTGAGTTGTAAGCCATTTCTGCATGTGCTAGATCTGGGCTCTTATCAGATGGATAGTTTGCAAATCTTTTCTTCCATTCTGTGGGCTGACACTTCACTTTGCTGACTTTTTTATTATGTAGTTTTTAATGTGTTTTCATTAAGTCCAACTAGTCTACGTTTTATTTTCTTACCAACACTTTTCTTGTGCCATGCTCATCATTGCCAAATCCAACATTATGAATCTTGTGGCCTAATTTCTTTCTTAGGCATTTTTGTACTTTTAGGTCACATAAGTTTTAATGCATACTGGATTAATTTTTGCATATCAGAGTAGGTCAAAGTCTAGCTTCATTCTTTTGTATGCAGATATCCAATTTCTCCAGAATTATCTCTTCAAGTAGCAACCACTTCATTTCCTAAATGAAGGAACTAGGGAAGACCAGAAAAAGAGACATATAGAATCTGAACCTCTGCTCCTGGTCAGTGCCATCTTAGACACTTACAATTAACACAAATTTAAATTGTGTAGAAAGCAAAACCAGTGCATTTTCTTATGATGTAATTGAAAACAAGTGTGTACCTCTGAGGCTGGCAGAGCACTTGATGGCTTCACAATATGTCTACAAGTTCTCTGGAATTCTGCCCTGAAGACTTAGAGCTTAATTATTCTCCTATTAGCTGTGAGCTAGACTCAGTAACTGGACCCCTAAAGATTAGCATGGGGCAGATTGTGGCTTCTGAGGCTAGGCAGGCCACAAAAGGCGTTGTGTTTTCTACTTGGTGTTTCTCTTTTTTATGCATGCATGTGGGTGTGTGTTTGCGTATATGCACATTTGCATGCAGGTGTGCATGCCCTTTTGTGTGGATGCAGATGCAGGCCAGAAAGCAACTTGGAAGTTTCTCACCAGGAGCCTTCTTCCTTGTTTTTGTGTTTGTTTTTTGTTTCGTCTTGTTTTGTTTTGACAGTCTCTTCCTGGGACCTAGAATTTACTGATCAGGCTAGTCTGACTGACCCTAGAGACTTTCAAGTCTCTGACTCTCCCTGCTAATACTGCAAGCACATGTCACCACGCCCAGTTCTATTATATGGATTCTGGGGATCAGGCTCAGGTCTACATGCTTGATGATAAGTGCTTTACTCATCGAGGTGTCTCCCTAAGATCCAGCATGTCTTTCTTGATGACTTCTTCAGGAGACTATCAGCTGCCAGTCTGATACTTGGGTCTCTTGAATAGTCTCAGCTTCCTGTCCATGTCAATCTCAATGGAAGCATATCTCTCAGACATAGGCTAGCCTTCTGGTGGCCATAGCCCTACCCAACATCTTCTCTGTAGGATCATGAGAGACCCTGAGCAAGAATCACCCACCTGAATTACTGTCCCATTTCAATTCTGATCCGCAGACAGTGACATAAGAGTTTATTGTCCAAACATTAAGTTCTGGTGTATCTCCTAATACAATAGATATCTAGTACAGGGAACTATGTGACTTCCCTTAAATTGCCACCATTGGGGTAACTCCTATTTTATGAACGTGGAAACTTGTCACTTTTGTTTTGTTGTTGTTGTTTTTGGTTTTCAAGACAGGGTTTCTCTGTGTAGCCTTGGCTGTATTGGAACTTAATCTGTAGACCAGGCTGGCCTTCAGACTGACGTTGAGCTTGAAGAGATCCACCAGCCTCTACCTCCCAAGTAATGGAATTAAAAGTGTGTGCCACCACCGCCCAGCCAGGACATTCTTCTTAACAAGATCTCAGAAATCTAGCTGCCTCGATGTGGTCTGCAGTGATGTTCTTAAGCTACTCCACCAGCCTACTCTGTTAGAATGGCCAACAGGAAAATGTCTCTTTTCAAAGTCTGATGTTGGAGCCATGGAAAAACATTCCTGCTCAAGGCTATCTTAAAACAGGCACCAGACCCAGGTCCTAGCTCCAGCTACTAGTTCTGGCTCCACCCATGTCTGGCTGTGTCTTATTGGTCCAATCCATTTTCCTTTGACGGTCTCTGTTCACTACTTTCATCTGGAAGACTCATTGGTAACATTAAACAGGAAAAATATACCAAGCAGGTGTGGTATAGGTAGAAGTCTGCCAGTGGAGCTATGAGAACTCAGAGACTCAGATGTTGGTCAGATAACTATCAATGGACTGTCTCAGCTTTGCCACTGACTGGCACCATAATCTTGGATGAATCACTTACTCTTGTCAACGTCTGCCCCTGCTTCTTTAAGTAACAGCAGTTATAGCAATTAACATTTATCTGTTGACTATGTTTAAAACATTAGGTAAAGTTGCATGCATTGTCTTTAACACAGCTCTGGGACAGAGAGACTATTATTAGCCATGTTTATAGGTGAAGGGGGCTGAGAGCCAGCAAGTGATGAATCCAGGATTCAACCCTTAACTACTGCTGCCACAGTAATTCTGAGTCCGTTTCCGTTTGAATTGGAATTGTGGGTGCTAGGATTAAGGCCAGATCCTGAAATGATCATATGAAATGTAGATTATGAAGACACTATATGGCAGCAGGTGTTTAATTAAACAAAGAATGCCTGGTAGTGGTGGTGCACACCTTTAATTCCAGCACTTGGGAGGCAGAGGCAAGTAGATCTATGTGAGTTTGAGGCCATCCTGGTCTACAGAGTGAGTTCCAGGACAGGCTCCAAAGCTACACAGAGAAACCTCGTCTTGAAAAACAAAACAAAAGCAAAGAGCCCTAGAAATTGTTCATAAAGTTGGTGTTAGGACACATGTTTGCTTCTAGAATATAGGGACCCCGGTTCTAGAGAAAAGGAAAGATGTGGTCTCTCTCTGATAGCAGCCACTGGAATAGGAGGTAGGGCTGAAAGAGAGCAAGGCAAGAATAACGGGGCTGAGATATCAGCATGTGCATTCTCTGTAGGACTGATACCAGAGCGTTCTGTAGTGATTGACAGGAATGCACCACCATGGACATCAGCAACCTCAGTCCAGGACACCACACCAACAGAAATTGAATTCTTACACAGACATCAGTACTAGAGTTTCAACAATGACTAAGCCATTCATTTCAACATTGACTAAGCAGGAAAATGTAAACATACCAGATGTTGCACAAGTCTGCAGAGCACATACGTATTAGTCAGTTTTCCAGCACTGGGCCAAAATATCTAAGACAAGGAACTTATAAGGAGGAATGTTTATTTTGGGTTATGGTTTCAAAGGTTTGGTTAGTTGGCATCATAGATGTCAGCCTCCAGCAAGGTGGAGTTTCCCAGTTTGGGAGTGATTTACATCATAGGGCAGAGGCTATCACAAATAGAATCAGATAGATGCCAAGGGCCCGATGTCCCCTACTCAGTCACTCTCCCAATCACTTAACTTCGATACCACTAGAACTCACCCCCTAGTTGCCACAACCTCCTGATAGGAACATGCTGGCTGTTAGCACATGGGCTTTGGGGAACCTTTAAGACCCTAATCTTGAAGACTAATGGTAATAAAGCAAGGGAGACAGAAAAAATGGGGGAAAGCTTAAATTTCTACAGAAGTTCATTTTCTATTTTCACCCCAGGCTTGGGGTTCTAGTGATGAAATGGAAGAAGGTCTATCCTGTCATGTTCTGTAGAGATCTTCACTTTGTTCCATGATCCCCAGAATACAGAACATCGAAGTCAACAGACCCAAACACTGCAGCTTATCTAGGTGTGGAGGCACACATTTGCATAGTCCCAGTTCTTAAGAGATGGAGAGAGAAGGGCCAGCAATTTAAGGTCAGACACCTGGGTTACCTGAAGAGCTGTCTAAATGATGTCTAAAAGATGTCTAAATAATGACGACAAAAAGTATCATAGGCTGACAGAACAGACTGTGTGCATGTGGATCCCTGTGTGTGTGTGTTTGTGTGTGTGTGTGTGTGTGTGTGTGTGTGTGTGTGTGTGTGTGTGTGTGTAAAGATTCCCTAATATGAACATGTTGCCCCCCAGGACTACATTAAATATGGAAATTTATGTTCCTTGGTCCCTGAACTACATAGTGAAAAAAAAGTACATGATCTTTCTGATCTCAGAGATTTCCAGAGAAAGATGTCTGGCCTGGACAGACTCATTGGCTAGTGACTTCTGGAAAGCTAAGTTCCTTTCTGGAAGTGAGTGTGCAGATGCCTTGCTGAGGTGAGTGCCAGAAAGGTGCGGATGAGAAGGAATGTTGTGAAGGTCCTGTTCTCCCTCTGGAGGAAGGGCCTGGGGTGAACCATCTAGAACATCTGTTGCTTGGAAATAGAGCACTTTCATCCACAGACGATGGAGGAGGAAAGGAGAACAGGGAAACAAGTAAACCTTGTTATGAAGGCCTTGGAGAGGAGAGTAATGTAAAGGAAGGTGGATGTGAGCAGTGCAGAAGTTTCCACGCGGCTAACTAACCTGTGGACCTCACCCTACTCCATCCCAAGATTCTATCCCTCTTTCCCTGTGTTCTGCTGGTCTCCTCCAAAGTCTTTGGCAGTTTCCTGATCAAGGGAGCAGTTAGAACAACCCAAACTGGAACACCAGAGCTACAGCTTTCTTCTGGAGGTCACTGGGTCACTTGCACAACAGTCCGACCACCCATGGTGGCAGTATACAGATGTCATGACCTCTAGCTCTTAGGCATCCAATCAGTTTGCTTTTACCTCTAGTGAGCCCACTCTTTAATCTCCACTCTACCAAGCTGCCTCCTCTCCTTTTTCACCCAGCCAACCCCCTCTAAGATGCCTTCTTTGATGATCTCCATGGAAACTGCACATTCCTTCTCCCTGCCTCCATAGAGGATGGAAGTGCTATGAGGATGCTATGCATTCCTGCTGTAAAAATGGTCCCTCAGCCCCACTCCAGGCAGAGATAAGGACTGAGAGATACCAGTTGACTCAGAACTGTGGTTAATTTGCTAGAAATCAACCTCTTAACAGGAGTAGTGGGTGGAATGCATCCTCCTGGAGACAAGGGGCTCTTAGGCTCAGATTTGAAAGCAAGCTGGAAATCCCTGAGAGGCAGGCTTGTTTCCAAGAGAGAGGACACTGGAAAACAGACACTAAGGGAACCTTTGCAGCCATCAGGGTGCACAGTTCCTGCTCAGTTTGCCAAACTACTGGCAGCCACTGAGTTTTACCTTCTCTCCCTTCCAGACCCAACAAAATCCTGACTGGAGCCCACCTGGGCAATGAACTCTTGGGGAATGCAGCAAATCCACCAGGCTGGTAATCTCCAGGAAGCCTCAAGCTATGAACCCACAGCTTCCAACAATGGTCTCTCTGGTTCTCCGTTCAGGGATACCCCTGACACATGCATGGTATCAACAGCTTTCCTTAGTTGTGGAGGAATGTTCCATAACTCCTTTCTTCTGTCCTTGACTCTAAAGCCAGAACCACGTGGCCAAAGCTGCTAAGTTCTGTTGCTTGATGGGGCTGGAGCATGCCCGTGCCCCTCTTGTTTAATTATATCTTCACCAGCTTTCTGTTTTGGATGGTTTCCTTTGCTACTTAAGCTTGGTTGAAACTAGATCTATAGATCAGGCTTTCCTTTAACTCGGAGATCTTTCAATTATATCTTCACTAGCTTTTTGTTTTTGATGATTTCTCACACTGCCTAAACTTGACTGTTCTGGAACTTGCTCCATAGACAAGGCTCAGAGACCTGTCAGCCTCTGCCTTGCAAGTGTTGAGATCAAAAGTATGCACTACCACTACTGACTCTAAGGTTTTCCTTATTTCCTTTTCACAAGTTGAAAATTTAGCTGGGTGGGATCTTGCTCTGAGGTCATCACTCCCTTTATTACATATCTTAATCTGTTTATCTTCTTGAACACAGGGCTTAGTTCCCTTCTACTCCTGGTATTATTTTTCTCCTCAAATTGTTCAGTTTTTATTTTTCCTTTCTCAGCTTGCTCCTTTTTAAATATAAATCTTTATAAGCATGAACACTGATAACCATACAACAAGAGTTTATTCTAGGCTGTTTTGAGATTTCCTCTGCTAATGGAATTAATCCAAAACTCTTCACTTTAGCCTCACTCAGACTCTTCAGACAAGGGCAAAAAACAGCCACATTTTTTTACCAAAACATCCCAAGAACAATCTATAGACCACATGTTAATATTCTTCCCCCCTGAAACCTCTTGAACCAGCTTCCTACAGTTCATCAAGTCACACTCAACACCACTGTCTTCCATGCTCCTACTAGGATGGCCCATTAAGCAACACTTAAAATGTTCAGCAGCTTTTCTAAACCACAGTCCCAAGGTCTTTATTCCTTCAGAAAAAAGCATGATCAGACCTATGACACTAATACCCAAGTTCCTGGTACCAACTTAGTTAAGGTTTCTATTGCTGTGAAGAGACACCACGACCACAACTCTTAAAAGGTAAAACTTTAATTGGGTGGCTTATAGTTTCAAATGTTTAGTCCATCATCATCATGGTGGGGGCGCATGGCTGTGCACAGGCAGGCATGGTGTTGGAGGAGGAGCTGAGAGTCTACATCTTGATCCTCAGGCAAAAATAAGTGAACTGTGCTTGAGCACAGGAGACCTCAAAGCCCACCCCCATAGTGACACACTTCTTTCAACATGGTCACACCTCCTAATAGTGCTACTCCCTTTGAACTTATAGGGAACAATTACATTCAAACTACCATGGCCCCTGTATACTAATCCTTTTATTAAAGTTAGCTTTAGTTTGACCCAAAAGTTGAGGAAAGAAAATGGACAGACAGACAGCATAAATATGAACTCGGGGACTGACCATATTATTCAGAGTTCCATTCATTTCATTCTCTCTGTTAAAAAACCAGCTGTGAAAATATAAAAATCCCTTTAGTATTTTCCTTCAAGACAGTTTTTTTGGGGAGACTTTTCTGTCTTAAAAGTTCTGGAGAGAAGAAATTCAAAGTAATAGTCAGAGCCTACTTGAACACTAGCCTCATAGTCAAGTCTGTGTATGGTATACTGTTCTTGCATTCCTGTCCTTGGCAGTAGTGGCCAAGAACTTTTATGTTCATTTCCCTTTCATTTCTACTCCATGAAGCCCAGAGGTATGTTCTGGTATCGGGCCAATTGGTACATTTATAGTTTGACAATAAAATGATGTGGGAAACGAGAAATAAAAATTCTCCTTGATACAGGAAAATTAAACAATATAAAAAAAGAATGTGTGGGAGATCAGTGCTAGTCCGATGGGCTTCATGTCCCAGCCCTGAAAAATCAGTGACTGAATGCTGATGCAGAACAATGCCATTAGCAGGACACTGAGCTGAACATAAGAGATCACACACACACACACACACACACACACACACACACACACACACACACACACAGAAAGAGAGAGAGACAGAGACAGAGACAGAGAGAGAGATTGAAAGGGAGGGGAGACTAAGTGAGTCCCACTTTCTCTTTTTTTCCTTCCAAACAAAACAAAGTGCTATAACACCTTCTTGGGTGGGTAAAAATCAAGGCCAACCCCAGGCACATTAAGTAGCCTGGGAGTCCAGGCATCTCTAGGTGGGGACTGGTGCTTCTTATGCGGATTCAGGTATGACCTTCAGAAGCTGACACCTCCTAACCCAAAGCTGAAGCCCCTGCACTGAGCTGCTTTCTCTACACACAGAACCAGGGAGTAGAGGAACTGTGGGGGTTCACCTCTCCATGACCCCTCAATCCCACCAGCCCTCCAGAACCACATCTGGGACCCAGCTGAGCTCAGAGTTTGGAAGCTTGTCACACCCTTCCTCTGGGGTTGCAGGGATGGGAGAAGTCACTAAAGAGGCAACCCCTCATATGAGACCAAGGACATGTGGAGAGGAGAGGAATCCCTGAGGCAACAAACTTTAGGACTTAAGGATTCATCTTAGCACCACTATGAAGTAGTCCTGCTGGGAGGAAGGCATGCTGAGAGCAGGGTCTTCCTACCACTTCCGAATTGCCTAGTTCAATGCCTGGCAGAAGTAGAGATTTAATACTCTCTTGTTAAATAAATGCGGGGATGAGAGAACAATGGCTCTACAGTCTTTCACATGTGGAGGACACCTATCACCCCACTTTCTACCACCTGTGGGACATCTGCTCATGACCCATTCTGTTTCCTCACACTGGGGAGATGGAGAACATCTTTACTTACAACCTGTTCATGCTGCACTGACTCCCAGGGGTATTCATCTCCTCAACCTGCTGGAACATAGGACTACAAACTGAGAAGGTTTAAACAGTAAAACTAATTTAGTTGCCATGTTAGAATATAAAAGACCTTCATCCAGTGACTGATGGGATCAGAGGCAGACACGCACAACTAAACACTGCACTGAACTCCTGGGACCCAGTTGCAGAAAGGGAGGAGTGATGAGCAAAGGGTTCAAGACTGGGCTGGTGAAACCCACAGAGACAGCTGACCTGAACAAGGGTGAGCTCATGGACACCAGACTGATGGCTGAGAGACCAGCATGGAACTGATTCAGACCCCCTGAACGTGGGTGTCAGTGAGGAGGCCTCATCAATCTTTGGGGCCTCGGGTACTACATCAGTATTTATCCCTGGCATGCAAATGGACTTTGGGAGCCCATTCCACATAGAGGGATGCTCTCTCAGCCTGGACACATGGGGGAGGGCCCAAGCTCTGCCCTGAATGATACGACAGACTTTGGAGATCCCCCATGAAGGGCCTCATCCTCCCTGGAAAGTGGAATGGGGAGTTGGGGGGGTTGGTAGGGGGCGTGGGAGGAGAGAAGGCAGAGGGAACTGGTATTGACATGTGAAGCAAGCTTGTTTCTAATTTAAATTTAAAAGAAGAAAAAAATATAGAAGTCCATGACTAAGGTACCCACTGAGTTGGGTCCTGATAAGACCTCTCTCCTCCTCCTGCAGACAGGAGGATGCCTTGGCATTTGGCTGTGTGTGTGCTCACTGTGCAAAGAGGGGGAGCTTGTCTCTGGTGTTCTCCATCCATAAGGACACCAATCCTGAGGTATCAGCATCATACATTATGTCCACATTTAACTTCAGTTACCTCATCAAGGCTTTGCCTCCAAATACAGTCACCTTGGGGGTTACAAGTTCACTCAATAGAGTTGGAGAGAATGAGTTCAGCCTACATCACAAGGCAAGAGGAGATGTTCCTGAGCCCCTTCATAGACTTCCTCTAGTTGTCCCCTTCTCTAGAGCACGAGCATCTGAACACCATAGGCATGCCTGCTCACATCTGAGGGTTCACTTTCCATGCCACCAGCTGGCTGCCCGCAGCCCCAGAATTCTGGAGGAATCTCTTCCTCCAGAGAAAGTAGCAAAGAGACAGCTGTTACTCAGGACCATAGAACTCAAAATGTCATTGGGTTCATGTGCACATGTGCCCTGCAAGTCCCCTTGTCATGTGGGAAGGCACCCATGTGGGGAAAAATGAAGGTAGCTCATGATCCAGTAATTCAGGGCCAAGGCTGGGGTCAGCTCCCCTCATATGTGCTATGAATATGGTGTATTCTTACTGCAGACTTTCCTAGCTTAATGTCTAGATTTTAGACCTGCAGGCATGATATGCGCACCTTCTTTTGTTCTCATCTCCTGGGCAGGCCACAGGTGGAGGGACCTTACACTCCCGCTTGTTCCAGGCATTTCCTATTTATGCCGGGCACCCCGCTGTATTATTTACTATTTCATCATTCTTTCACCATTGAAAGGAAACAATAAATTCTATACTCCCTTCAGCTGTGAAACACAAACACACGCAAGCTGTGGGGATAGACCAGGGGAGTGAGTCTGTAACAATGGAATAGTTGTTCATCTGTCCCTCCACTGGCTACAGCATGTACAAGGTGCTTAGGCGCACTTCCTCCCCGAGGAGCCTGCTGATTATGTATAGGGTATAAGACTTATGCTCCCCTGCCTCTGGAGAAGAATACAGGAAGGTGCACAGATGTAGCCGAGTGCTTAATTAATCAAGGCCAAATGCACGGTAGGGGTGCAGAAAGAAATACGACTCTGTCCACAGAATCCTCCAGACTACAGCTTCTCAGCTGTAGCATGGGAAACGCTGGTAAACCTGCTCAACGAAATATAGCACGAAAGAATGAAAATTCTCACATCTCTACAAAACAATAAACAAAAGAGCCCAGGAGGATCCTTTAGTAGCTTCCCAGGTTAAGGCCTGGGAAATGGCTTGAGGTATTTCCTTAATTCCAAATCTTATTTCCATTTAGCACTCTTGTCATTTTGCTTCCAGGGACAGAAGAGCTGAGGAAGCTTGGAAGTAGGTGGGATTGTCTGGACCAGAAGCTCTAGCTTTTGACTGATTGGGTCAGCTCTCACCTTGCAGCTTCCCTTTTGGCCCCTCCATTCCCTTCTCCAGATGCTGAGGCCTGTGTTCTCTGACCTCACAAAGTCTCTGAAACTCAGTCACCATTCTTGGTAGCCACTCACTCCACGTGTTGACTTCTGCTTGTAGGAAATGGCTGCCACCAAGTTGCAGAGG